TAAAAATTCTTTTTGTTGGTCAAAGTTTTTATTTTTGGTTATTATTTCTTCATAATAACAAAAGCTAATAAAAATAATATTAATTCGGTAAATTAAAAAAAAAAAATTATAACACACATGTTTTCCTGTTTTTATAAAGAAAAAATACCACCACATGAAATTGTTATCGTTTAGTTGTTAACTTATATTTTTTCGCTCTTCGTTCCATTTTTTTAATCAGCCAAAGAGTAAAATAAAGCACTAGCAACAATTTTCACTTGTTTAAGAAGAAATTCGTTTTAATTTTCACTGTTATCGTCAAACATCCTTGCTTTGATTTTTAATAAATACCTTATGATTTCTAGGTCTATTGAATATTAAAACCAAAAAAAATTAGATTTCGCAATTTTTTTTAAACATAATACAAAATTACATAATGCTTAATAAGGACTGCGCATGCTTATTCTCTAAATCGGAACTCTTTACACGGTACATGAGGAACAATCCACTGACTAAACGCCTTTTTGGATTCCCATGAAATCACTTTAGCCCAAGTGTTTTAGTTTGACCTTCATAAAAAGTTTTATAATTACAGGGCCAGGTATCACTCTAAATAAAATTTTCACTTGAACTAGAAGTTTGTTTTTAATTATTACTCAGCGCTTGTTTGTCCCGGGGGCATTAAGTATTCCTGAGCTGACTTTGTCCCGAAATGAACAAGCTGAATGCCCTCTCAACAAATCAGAAAATCAAGGAGTACATTGCCAAATGTAAAGCATCATTAAAGCAGAGAATCCAACGCGATTTTTTTTTTTTTTAAATCAAAATTTTTGAGGTTTCACAGTGTGATGTTAATTTTTTCTGAAGATAACTATGTTTTAATTTCATAAATGTTCTACTACAAATTCGAAATATCGATAAATGTTTTTAATTTTTGAGAAACATTTTATTATTATTAATCATTCATTGAAATTTGGCAATTGTAAAATTAATAGAAAAATTAAATTTGCTATGAAAATACAAAACATGATAGGAACTTGTGAAGGATCAACCCCTTATTAACACTTCAGTAAAATAAATGTAATAAAATTGAAAAATTTATATCATACTGTAGCTTTTCTACAAAATTTTGTTTTTGGATATGTCTGTTAAATAACAGATGACCACCCGAATTTCCATCAAATTCACTTCTTCTTTTTTTTCCGATTAAAATCAGAGATTTAAAAAAAATAATAATAAAAATAAATAAGAGTTTTGAAATAATTTTTTCGATAAACATTGAAAATATTAGAACAAACTAAGTATTCTTTAATATATGTACCAAATTATCATGGGTTTACATAAACTTGACAGCTATTTTATGGAAGATTTCACAAATGAAAAAAATATACATGAAAGTATAGAGAAGAAGATAATTATTGAAGTACAGACACGATTCCAGTAATAAACAAATATAATAAAGCCTAATAAACAAAATATTGCTGTTTCTTGATTTCGTGGAAATAAATACAAATAAATAATCGATTTCAATTTCTCCAAACTAACACTGCAACTAAAAAAACAAATTTTCTAAAATATTTTCCTTCTTCAGGACATTTTTAAATAATTTCCTGCTGAGAAGTATAAAATAGCTGAAGGAAGGGCAAATCCTCTTCAACCTTCAAGGTTGTAATGTTCAAAAAAAAAAATACACAATTAAAGCTGTTGAACATCCAAGGACGATGGAAATTAAATAATTGTTCAATACTTATTTTTAAATAAATGGAAGAAATTCATTAATTTTACACTAAATATTAACAGAAATAGATATAAAAAAAATCCAATTTTTACCATAAAAAAAATTAAAGGATAATAAGAAATATTATGTGTGTGTACAGACAACTTGAGAAGAAAAAAAATTAGTTTCTTTGTGGATCTATTACTGAAAAATAATACAGAAATATTAAATACTCGAAATGTTAAACTGGTCAACAATAGCCGAATATTCTTTAAAAAGTATAGACTTATTTAAAACAATAAAAAATAATTGTATTATAGATCCCATACATAAAATGGATATTTTAGAATTATTTCTGTTATAATAATAAATGTACTTTATAGAAGATAGATTGAATGGACATAACATTTTATTGAATCTTTGAAAACACGTCACAAATACCTCCAGTATTTATATATATATATATATATATATATATATATATATATATATATATATATATATTATATATATATATATATACATATATATATATATATATATATATATATATATATATATATATATATATATATATATATATATATATATATATATATATATATATATATTTAATGTATTATCAAAAATGATTTTTATTCGTTACCCAATTTTCATTTAAAAGGCCAGACAGTAAAATGAACAGCTAACAGCAAAATGAAATCGTCAGAGAACAAAATTGGTTTGTTCTTCATGCCATCTTCCTTTTCATGTCACTACGAAATTTCAACTACCATTACAGTAACAACCTCTCTTTATTTTAATTCCCTCAATTTATCTTATGGCGGGGTTCATCAGGAAAATGTCCGTTTCAATTTTTCTTTTTCATGTTACTTAATCATTATTTCAAAAACTTAGAAGTAATACAAGTTTTTTTTAGAATAGAATTTATCGTTTTAAATTATGAAATGTCTAAATTAATAGTTAAAAAAATTTCAATAGCTAACATTATTTATAGTTATATATACAGGATATTTTTTTATTTCGTCGCCTTTTCATTCATTGACCCTCTTCCTAATTAATAACCGTTAACATAAAAAAAAAGTAAAGAAAAAAAAGAGAAAGAAAAAACCCTGTATCACTACAACCATGAAGGGTCTTGGGTTCAGTACTTTTTAGGGAAAGTACTGTTTCAAGGCCAGGATCACGCTCCACCGCCAGATTTTTCCCTAAATCAATTATTTAATTAAGGGTACCTACTTTGTAGAGGCTGGGTGTGCCCCAGGAGGGTCTCCGTACCCCAGGGTCGCCCCTCGGCCATTGAAACAGAATAAATAATTATTCGGCCATGAGCCGGGATTCGAACATGAGACCTTGACCATTGGAAGCTCTGAGCTACCCTGCTTCCGTGTCGTTAAAACGTTAACATAGTTTTAAATTATTTATTTGTAAAATGCATAAGACTTTTCAGCCACCAGAGTCGTTTTTTCCTTATATTACATTTTTTCATATGAACTACTAATAATACTTAAATAACAAGACACGATAAAAATACAATTTAACATTTACTTATCATAGATTTAAGATATTAAAAATAGTTACAGTAAAATATTCCATTACAATTTTTAACAGAAAATTTATTTTATCTGTCTATTGATAAATATTACAATCTGTCTCAATAAAGGACATTTATAATAGAGTTCTGAGAGCACATTCACACCATATTTACAAATTAAAAAAATAAAAAATAAGCTAACTTCAAATAATATAAAGCTACAAAAGAACAAAATAAAATATCATAGTGAAGAAAGAAAATACAAATAATAGTAATAATAGAATGAAAATAAATGAATAAATTAGAATTAAAATTATCACAAAAAAAAAAAAAAAAAAAGTAATGAAAATAAACATCTTAGATGCAGGCATACCTATTTACAGTCGGCCATAGGAACTCCGAACCATACTTATCCCCCCACACGTGGAGGGAAAGCATCATTACAATTAAGCTAGGAAAGTTAAAAGTATGATTGTAATTTAAATTATTTTTTTAACTTAATTTCTTTACCCACAGCTGTCAGTAGTAATGACCATTAACGAGTCAGATGGGTGGAAAATATTAATATGGGTTTGATTGGCATGAGGGAGAGGAGTGCCCAGCGGCATCCCTTCTTGGCTTGATTTTAGTGTATTTTTAAGTGAGGAAATCCTTCCTCCAGCTTTTGTGCCTCCGAAGCGTGTTTTCAGGCAGATTAATCTTAATCGTGACTATGTCTTTTATCAGTGTGTTAGTATGTCCATGTTATTGTGAAGTCGTTTGTAGGGTTTCGGTATATGATTGTTAACTGTTGGCATGTTTAGATCTTTATGTAGAGTAATGATCGTGACGTACCATGGATATACAAAAAGGGATATGCTCTACAGTATATTCTAGAAAGTAGAATGGGACAAGCTCATTTAGTATGTCAAAGAAAATCTCAAATAGCAATTTATTTAATAAGTATTCAAATATTCTATATTAATATTATATGTTGAATTTTTTTTTTTCGAATTTGTATCTAAAATAATATAACTATAAAGAAAAAGGTTAAGAACAAAATACAAACTGCAGTAAGGGATCTCTAGAAACGACCTTAAAGGCCATTTTAAGTGAGTTAGAACTCACAACTCCTTGAGCTAGTCGATTTTACTAGTCGTCTTCTTTAACTTACATAATTCGCGACCAGTTTTTAGAAAGTAGAATAAACTAACACTCATCAATATTCCGTGCCAAGCTAGGTAGAGCTCATCCATAACCAAAAAAAAAAAATATAGTTAATCTACAGTTTATTCAGATGTCTACTAAAAGTTTGTTGAACAGCATTGAAAAATAGAATATATACTTTGTAGTATGTAAAACTATCATTCATTTCACCGAAATACAATGATTTAATAAGAATTCATTCATATTTGTTACAGTTTAAAACAAATTGATTATTAAATATAACATTAATTTTTTTTAATATAACATTTTATAATATAACATTTTTAACATATAATATATAAATATAACATTTTTTATTATTATTATTATTTTTTTTTATTTATTTATTTATTTTTATTATCTTTTTTACCATCATTACTTATGTTTCTCATACCTTATTATCTGGTTATTTTCTTAGCCCTGATGAAGGCCTGAACTTCAGGTCGAAACCTCGGCATATGTAAAAAATAAATATTACCATTTATTTTTGCCTTAATTTTTGACTGACCACCCCAACTATTCCTCTCTTCATTATCCACGACAGTCAACCAATTACCAATTATAAATATAACATTCTGTTTTCAGAAATGACAAGATAGTGAAAGATGGGCATGTGCAAGTATTTTACAAGTCGGATGAACGAGGAAAAATGAATTCCAGTACCTACATACCAGGTAATAAAAAATTTTTTTATTCTACTTTTCACCATAATAATCATCTTAATTCGAAATATAAATTAGTATTTTTTTTAACTAAATTCATTCACGGGTCAGAAGCACTGACAGTCAGCGATTTTACTATTGGGAAGAATTCTAGTAGAAGCATCGATCGTGAAGCAGAGTAGTGCAGCGGTATCCCTTCCTATCTTAATTTTAGTATACGTTTTTTAACGAGTAGGTCTCTCATCCAGCTTCTTTTGAGCCTCCTAAGTATGTTTTCGGGCATTTTAATAGTAGATAGATCTTGTATGATTGTTAAAACATATGATTGTAACATAGTTTTTTCATTTATATCTTATCCAGGTTTTTTATGAGGTTTTTTCTACTGTAAAAAATGGATTTAAATTTTCTAAGTAGCATTCAAATCACTAGTATGTCATGCGTAAAGTTACTGCAACCATGCAACCATAAACATGTAATTTATCATTATGACATGAGGTAATGTATATAAAAATAAATAAATAAATTTAAAAAAAAAATGTTAAGACACTACATCTTGTATGTATGAATTTTTTTAAATTTTGTGAATTTCGCATTTGGGTGGTTTTAGCTTTTTCGTTTATATATGAAACGTAGGTTCATATGAGCTTAAGTAGATAACCGTAATCATATTAAAAATAAATTAAAAAAAAAAATCTTTCTGGTCGTTTATTATGCTATTAAGGTAGTCCATTAGTATTCCTGGCAAGATAAATTTATATTCATTTAGCGTAGATTTACTTCAGGTGAAAAAAACAAAACACAATACAACTCATAACAAAGCATTAGTGTCATTATAAAATACGACTTTGATAAAAAAAGAAAAGAAAAGGGCTCATTGGAATTACTTGGTCGTTCGGCTATTAAAAAATATGATTTTGTACGTGTTCCACTATAAATCTATCTTTTAAACTTAATATTAATCCATTTATATATGTGTTTATTTTTTTATATTCCAGTTTACCTGAGCGAAAACTCACGCATTTGATCTTTATTATTTTTCTTCCAAATATATTAGAAGAAAAATAATATTAAGAAAACATGTTTTTACGTAGTAGCAATATAATATTATCAAAAAGCCTATAAAACTCTCACAATTAGTGAAATGATTTAAAATCACTATGTTAAAGAATCAGTTAACTTAATAAATGATTAGCTTATTGAGTATACTTTTAATTTAACAGTCAGCTATCTGTAATATTATGCTATGCAAGTATTGTGGACCTATTTGGTTAATCAAGAATACTGTGATTCATGATTTGTATTTCACTCCCTTAATGTGGGATATTTACCGTACAGAAAATTATAATCTGTTAACAAAATATTTGTATTAAAAATATCAAACTTTTTTTATGTTATCAGAGGTGCACAAAGAATCTCAATACTATTTCATCTTGTTTATCTTTATAATAGATTTTTTGCTTATCATTATGGGCTTCGATATACACGGACATTATAATTTTTAAAAACGACAACGATAAGTGATAAGTATATGCTAACCACGAATAAGACTGATAAGAACAAATCTATCTCGAAAACGGTAAGTTTGGAGGTTAAAAAAAACACTAACGACTTTGAATAACCTTCATTTTTGTAACAGAGATAATTTTAAAATAATTTGTGACAAAGTTATTTATTTATTTAGGATATACAGTGCAGATGTAATAGTCCGAAGTAGGGTTGAATAAATTAATAATTATAGTGACGTATTCATTATCTATAAAAAACGTCTCACAAGTATGGTCAGTATAGATTCCTCACCGTTTCATTAGCTAAAAATTTTCTATTTACAAGGTCTAATGTTTTTCTTATAGTAATAAAATATCTGGGAGAAGCAGTTTTCGGAAATTTAGTAATCCCTTAAGACCTACAGGTCTGATATCCACGAGTTTTGTTCATCAGCGAATACTGAAATACGAAAGAGTTCCGCATTTGCAAATTGTATTTTGATGATTTGCAAATAAAAAAAAAATCCATTGCATACTGAACATGAATATCACTATTGATAGTGCAAAAGATAGCATTTAAACATTGAATGTTTTACAGGACGGCATAAGAACTCATAGCTTCTTTATGGTTTATTAATATAATTTCATATTTTATTGCCCTCTGTTTTTTTCCATCGAAGCTGACTGCTTATATCAGTTCCAGGCTACAAAATGTCACCTTTAGCGCAAATAGAATATAATTCGAAAATGTTTACATCCCAAAAATCATAACACTTAAAAATTAAAATACTTTTACTGGTTAACAATTGGCTTTTTTGGCCATTTTTAGACATTTCTGTTTCACCTATTAAATGCCACCTGTCTAAAAATGATCTATAAATTATGTGTCAATATCTAGACAAGAAGAAATTTTTTCTGTTTGTCCATGGATTTTTTTTTGCAGGGTATTTTTTCTTTCTACAAAGAGGAAAACAGTTTTTTTACTATGTAAATTTTCTAACAATGATTTTTGAATAAATAACAATAGAGTAATAAATAATAATAATAATAATAATAATAATAATAAGGATAAATTCAAGATATCTTTACATATCTTTCGGGGAAAAATATTATAAAGGCTTTAAATACATGGGCGATTCCAGCTTTATCCTATTCCTTTGGCATCATAGAATGGACCAATACAGATTTGGATAATATAGATCTTATCTAAGAGTGTAAATGACGAACTCTCGGAAACTTCATCCGAAATTTGTAAGAATGAATCTACCGAAAAAAAGTTTTAGGACGAGGGCTTTCAAGTTTATTATGAGCATGCTGCGAAGAAGAAGAAAAACTTCTAAATTATTTTAGAGCCAATGGTTCATCTGTGGTCATTGGTTCATCAGCGTGAAAAGTTTCCTCCACTTCTAGAATAAGAGCTTCTACTTGATGTGTGAAAGTCCAAAGAGCTACATGGAAGATTTTACCATACTTATCGGTAGCAGGAGTAGATAAGGATGCGTTTCTAATGTGGATACGTAGGGATACATTGTTTCCTCAAACGGAAGTATTCGTTATAACCATACATACCAGGTCATCACTATTATAAAGGAATATAGGCACGGCATTTGTGGAGAAGCTGTAGCTGAATTGTGTCTACTTTGTAAAACAGCAACAACATCGATTCAGCATATCATATCAGGATTTAAAATGCTTACTGGAAACGAATATCTACTTAGACACAACAACATGGCTAAGATCGTGCATTAGGAAATAGCCAAGGGATTTGGAATTTTAGGCGATACTTTTCCATATTAGAAGCACAGAGCACAATCGGTCATTGATAAACGGCACGTCAAACTATACTGGGACCAAACCATTATAACAAACCACACTAATCTACACAACAGGCCTGATATTTTGTTCGTTTTAAAGGATGAGAGCCATGTAAATATTGTTGAAATAAGGCTGCCATCGGATAATAACCTTCACAAGGTGGTTGCGGAAAAAAATGCAAATATCAAGATCTTGGTGAGGAGCTCAAGCAATTATATAAACTTGATAAAGTGAGGATTTTTCCGCTGGTCATCTCAGCAAATGGTCTGATTCCGGACACAACAGTAAACTCCATGAAGCAATTGGACCGAACAGTGAGTATTGTTCGAAAATTTATGAATGTAACAGATTAATTTGTCTAGCCTACCCTTTACTTAAGTCCGGGTAATGTGATATAACCAGCAAATGCTGTGAAATAAGGGATTTCCATAAATAATAAGAATAATATTCATTTACTATATTTATATATTCATTAATTTAGTAATTGTAATTTAGCATAGCATTTAAAATGTTTCAGAAGAAGGAAATTACCAAATATACAACTATGTACTTAATCTGACACCTGAGTACAGAGTGCGATATGTATGCAGCGATTTTCCCCGAACAAGTGAGTATTGCTTTTTTTATAAAAAATATAAAAAGGATCATAACTATGGCAACCGTATCGTTAAAAAAATGTCCTTTGATCTGAAAAAAAAGAAAAGAAAAATGAAGTTTTTTATTGTGACACACCGAATTTATTATTCTGAGAGGTATTTTTTTTTTATTTATGAATCCATATCCATTCGTTTTTTATACAAGTTCTACATAAAAATGTCTATACTCTTAAATTAAATTTTAATATCCTGTTAGTTGCGAACCTCTTCTGATTATTATTTCTGCGGATTATAAATCCAGCAACATATATTACTATGCTTTATTTCGTCATAATCAAGATTTGAGTCATTCGATAAATCATTAAATTCCTACATCACCAGAAAAAATACAAACACTCATAGATCACAATAGTCCTATATTATTTTTTTTTGTTGCCGTATTCCGGATTGAATACTACCTGTCTAAAAATGATCTATAAAAAGTATGTGTCAATATCTATACAAGAAGAAATTTTTTCTTTTTGTCTGCCAGGATTGTTGGCAACTATTTTTTATTTTTGAAGTATATAGTAAAAGAAAAAACTTTTTTACTATTTAGTATATACTTTTTACTACATTAATAACATAAAACATAACAAAAGCAAGCCTCCGGCGACCAAGAATGGCGGTACCCCTTTTCAAAAATGGTTAATAAAAAAAATAACCATTACTTATATCACAAAAGGGATAATCGACTGAAGTATATGAAAATCTTGTTAATAAATCATAGTTCCTTTTTTGTAAGTCTTTAAATATTTTTTTTTTAAACAGCTATTAAAATGTATTAATAGGTATATTACTGTTTATCTTAAAATAATTATTTTATAAAAAGGCTGATATTCCAGTTCCAGGTGTCCATGCAGTCTACATCGAAACGAGGAAGCTCTACCCGACGATCAAGACGATCATGAAGGCTCGAGACGTACTTGAGAAGTACAAACTTGCGGTACCCCTCGTCAAAATTAACCAAAAGAAATGCACCAGGCCAATCAACATGGACGGATACGTCCCACTTAGCACGAAAACTGGATCCAGTTAGCTTGAATAAAAAAAAATAAATTAAAAAAACGGCATAAACATATTTGAACCAAGGATCATTGTATTAATTTATTTTCGAAACAAAAATTTGAAAAATGTATATTAATTGTAAATTAGATAATTATATTATTAATAAATTATTTCCACATAACTTACTGCTCAATTAATGTACATTAATGGAATTAACCTATTTTACAGTCACTTGTTGTATGAACGATCGGTAATCAATTTATGACTCAAAATTAATAACAAAAATTAAAAAAAAACATAGAGGCTAATAATCTTGAGTGAAGAGGTGAAGTTACTATACCAATGGCGACTCTAATCTCTTAATAAACGCCTCAAAAACGAACACAAACTCTCGGAAAGAACCAATCAACGGTGATATTTAAACGTTCAGGAATAATATTTTGGTTTATACCTACAACTTCTTGTCCTACAATATCCTTCAATGATATATTCCACTTGTTCCTGTTGAAGAAATCCGCTACCTTGGACTCCACTTGCATAAACGTCTCACTTGGAATCCGCATACTAGATTGAAACGACAAGAAACTGCTTGACGTTTCCGGCTGATCCAACACTTACTAGACAAACGCTCTAAACTTTCAACTAATTACAAAAGACTCATCTACTTAACCATAATAAGATCAATATGGACATAGGGAATTGAGCTTTGGGACTCTACCAAACCATTGAATTCCTATCTTATCCAATCTTTTCAATCCAAAATCCTTCATAAAATTCTTAATGCCCCATATGTTGTCACAAATAAAACCATCCATGATGACCTTAATGTTCCATATGCCGCTGATTTAGCCCGAGCCAGATACCTATCCTTTCATAATAAACTCCAGTCCTATCCGAATCTATTTGTTTCCAGCTTTGCTTCTTTCTCGATTCCTGATAATCTACTTAGACGACTGAAAAGAAGATGGCTTCGTGATCTTCTCACTTAGAATTAAGTAGAGAGTGCTACCACTGGTCAATAGCTCTTCAAGTCTGTTCGTGCCATTATTTCTAAAGTGTGCATTTATACTAGTGTTGTTTATGCAGTTGTAAATTTCATAAAATAAATAAATAAAATATTTTGGTTTAAACAACTTTTATTTTAAAAATAAAAAACATTAACAATCTAAAAAAACAAAACAAGGAACTAATCTTCAGAAACGTGATCTGTTGAATTTTCAAGCACTTATTTTGCTCTTTGTGCTCTTTTATTTTTATCCAAAAATCTATGGCACGAACGAATAGAAACATGCGCGAGTTAAGCCAAATGCACTATTTGCACGCCTGTGTTCGCCAGATGTCCGTTATGTAAAAGCGCCATAAATCAATTGATAGTGGCATCGAACAATCGGGTTCGCTAAGGCTTTTATTATTATTATAAAAGTGCCATAAAAAGTACCGAACCCTGATCGGTACTTTCCGACCACTTCTTTTCCCTAAAGCAAAACAGTACAAATACATCTTTCATTTTCCAAGTTATCATCATCTGATAAAGTTATTTATGCTCAATTTCCATCTTCATTGATAAATTAATTTTCATAATGATATATATTACAGTGATAATGTAATTATTTAATTGATTTATTTTAAATAACTGACTCTCTATAACATTGATTTAGTGGGTACCACAGGAAAATATTAAACATTTCTTTCTATATCTTTAAATAATTAAATATTGTCATCAAAGGCTGAAAAAAAAATGTTAAAAATAACAGGCTTCCAAGGTCTAAAATAAATTTTAATTGCGAAATAAAACTTGCAGGTTGATACTACTGTTCCTTGGTCATATACTTTTTATTTAGGACCAAGCTATTCACTGATGTATAATGAATATTATAGTTTATTAATAATGACAGAAAGGGTGGTTTTCGGTTTTAATATTTTCAGAAAATGATGATTTACAGATATCGTTAATTCTCAAGGCTATATTTGAGTCACATTAATTGATTTTAAAATATAACTGTTTCCTAACAGAGAAATTAACTATTTACGACTTCCATAGAATCCATTTATGTTTGTAATTATTTAGCGGAATTAACTTGTCAAGAACATTATAGCTATACTTTAATGAGGAACTTCTGAAATACTCATTTTCCAAACTCAATTAATTCAGAACTCCTACTATTCGGTATAATTGAGAGAGAGATTAAAATGGATAATCGAAAACTTTGAATATTTTGCTAATATAAAAATAGAATCCGATATCTAACAATAAAAAAATAATAACAAATTATCTAAGCACTGATTTCTAAAAGGTTATATAAACTGTTTTCGTCCATTTCTTCAAATAAAGTTTTTTTTTTTTTTTATTTATTTGAAAATATAATAATCTGTCACTTGGACAATAATTATAGTGATATATGAACACATTCAAACCATATATACAGAAAATATAAGATTAACAAAAGTAAGTACGTACAATAAAAAAAATAAAATAACCTAAAGATAAGTAAATTAAAAAACTTAAAAACACAGTCATACTTATACGAAATATATACAATTAGGCTGGGAACCCCAAGCCAGGCATCTCCCTCCAATTATAGAAGGAATAGCAGGACTCCAAGAGATCCTTGCGCTACTCTCTTAACCGCATCACTGGTGCTAAAGCCAGAGGAGCTTGAGCGAGAGCGCTTTCGCCACATACACTCATGTCTTGAGTGGAGAATCTGGCCTTTGCCAGAACACCAAGATATATACTACAAAAGATCTCTGGGCCACTTCCGCTTCAACCTTCGAGGAAGATTGTAGAGACGAGTGGAACTAGATAGGGATTCTGCTAGGGGATTTGGATGATTTATAAGGTTCCGATGGAATTTGGAAAAGTTTTCAGGGATAAGGTCGAGGGCAAATGGGACATTGAGGTCAAGATGTAGGGTTTTGTTGGGTATATAGAACGGAGCATCGACTATTGTTCGGAGGACTTTGGACTGAAAGGATTTAATGCATTTGATGTAAGGGAAGTTTGCTATTCCCCAAAGTTAAAGTCCGTAGGTCCAAAGTAATTATAATAAAGTGAGTAAACAAATAAACAGAAATAATGCACAATTTCACAGCTCTTCTTTAGTCTTCATCAGCTAAAGATTTCCTTCTTTGGTTTTTCTTTTCCAAATGTTCAATTGCCTCTCTTCATGGAGTGTGAGTGACCAGGACTCGTTTCCATATATAACAACTGTATGGAGGACCATCTTAGTATACCTCGATTTCAAAAGAATTTTCCTTAGGGATCAATAACATTTATTAGTAATTGTGATTTATTTATTATTAAATTGTGATGATCTTTCGAAATGATATCCAGTCCACCTCGATATGTTTACTGTTTTTCATCTTCCTCGTTGTTAATATGTATTTAGTTTTTTCTTCCTTTACAACAAGTCCAGATTTTTTTTAAATGCTCCTTAAAAATGTATTTGATGTTCTTCCTATAATCTATAAATCTTCGCAAACGGTCGGGTCGTTCTCATGACTATTTCTAATACCATTCCTGATAACTGGTTGTTGGACCGTCTGGCTTCCCCTGATGTTGAGACTTCTTGATAATCTCGATTTTGAAAAATGTATAAAGAAAATAAAAATACAGAATCGGAAATAATAAGCAATATGTCATTAAACTGTCGTTTTCAATATTATGGTAAAAAAAAACCTAAAGAATGAAGGAGCAATAAAATGAAAAAAAAAATTATGAAACAACCCTAAAAATGTTAATTATAAACAATTTTTGCGTCAAAATATTTTTAATAATTACATTAAATGTCAACAAAGTAAAAATTAAAAAAAAAAAAAAAAAGCAGTGGATAATAAAATCATAAAATTTCGTCTGCTTACTTACTAATTACCTAAGAGGCCCTACAATAGTTTTTTTTTCTTTTAAAATTTATATAAGTGATGATCATATTAAAAAAAAAAAATTCAATTTATAATAATTACGAAGTTGTTAGGCAAGTTGTTACTAGGAAGAGAAGTAGTTGGGCGATCTACCTGGAGAAGCTCGGGCTGGGAATACGGTTGTCACCAGCCAACTAAATAATTAGCCACACTCTCCTCGCTACTGCAGTTTCCTCGCCCTCTCCCTTCTCTTCATTTATTGTTAGCACTTGTCAACTTAGCGGTGGTAATGCTGTCACCATCAAGGGTAGTGCTCTTCCAGCTTGAGTGCCTTCGCCATTATAAGTCAAGGTGTTTATCCAGCACTTCCTGAATATCCATCCTCCTTACGAGAACAAGAAAGAAGCTCTCTCTGCTTAAGAACACCGTGCCCATTTTTGTAATTGTTAAATGGAGCCAATGATCCACAACTTTGAGCTATTAAAATTTGTGTCTTAGTTACTAAATGATTCAATAAAAAAAATGGACATGTCGTTTACCTACAGGGCACAAATTTAAACTAGTATTAAAATGTATGGAACGAATTTTGTTAAAAACATGTTCCTTCATGATCAAAATGGAAAATAACAGATGAAAGTGCAAAAATATAGCATTATTTTGGATATTCAAAAGTGATCTGGGAGACTGCCGAGGTCGAATACTTAGATTTTTCATCTCTGTCACTTCCAAGGAAAGAAACGTAACCTTTTATCCACCAATTGATACAAATTAAACCTCTCTTTTCATGCCAAAGTTTTTGAACTAAACCTATTTTAATATTCTTCTTCTTCGTTTCTCCCTCTAGATGGCTATGTCAGGAAGTAAAAATGTAAAATTAGTCCTCCTTAGGTCCTCCAGACTCTCGAACAGCGTGGTCCCAAGGTTGGTTGGGGCCATATTTGCTTCACCAGTTGGCAGCTTTGGAGAAGGTACTCGGTTGTTTGTTTATTTTGTCCACATTCAAATAGGGGACTTCTATCTTTAACTTCCTGAAGAGATGTGATTTAAGGCGGTTATGTCCAGTTCTGAGGCGAAAGATGACGACCTATTCTCTTCTGGTTAGCTTGACATAATCGTCACGGGGATTGTGATTTGAGTGACCTGCTTTCCATCTTTGGCTTATGGCTGCTTTGTCAATGGTTTTCCATTCCTCCAATTTAGGAAGACTGTTAATTTGGGGGAGAAGGAACACTTTCCACATACAATCGATCTGTAATTTCATTCCCCGTAACCCCACAGTTCTCTTGAATCCATTTTTGAAAAACTTCTTGGTACTGCGCTCTTACATTTT